TTACTGGGAGCTTTTTCTTGCTGGGAGCTGCTGAGAGCTCTTTTCAAAACTTCATTTTCACTCTAATACTGTGACAATTGTATCCAGTAGTCTTTGGCCTTTGTAGAGGTTTGTTTTAACCTGAACTAGTTCTGTCACTTGAGTCCTGTTCCACTGTAAATCAGTCTCTTTACTTGGTTCCAGATCAAGTGTTTGGTTCCAATCTCACCAGCTTGTGTCAAAGAGAAAACAGCACGGTGCCAAAGTTCGTGAAGCTGTGCATTGAGCATGTTGAGGAACATGGTATGGTGAAAGTTTTTTGTTTCCAAATCTCTCTTGCTCACCAAGCTATCTAATTTTAAATGTTTTAATCCTTTAAATGCTGCAGATTTCTTTGTGGAAAATTATCTGAAACCTGTACCTGTAGATAGCGATGAGTTTTCAAGAGTGGGGAGGCAGGTGGGATCCAAAATGGGGAGAGGGGAGGAAACCTTATCTGAGACATTGATCTGCTTCAGTATTTTTCAAGCTGAGGAGAAGGCAGGACAGCCTTCTGGCAGCAAGGCTCTAAGGAAAGAGAGATTACAAGTGATAGAAGAGCTCAGCCCATCGATATCTTTTTCAGATGAAAAGAGAGAGAGAGACTGTCAAAATGCGGCTGTTCATTTTTGGACGGTTTAAGCACACTTAACAAAATCATTTATGTTAAAACTTCCTTGAAACGAACTTCTAGGAAAAAGTTGTGTTCCTGCTCTGTATATGCTTTGACTGCCATAAGACAAGTCTATCAGCACTGATTGCTATGTGAAATTTTATGCAATTCTGGAGATTTGAGTCAATATGTGGATGCTGAGAATTTTTGTTTGCTTTCATTGAAAATAAGTCTGTCCTACCTAATAACTGCGAAAATTATGTTTGAAAGCTACATGTGACATTCTGGGTTGTCTAATGTGAAGGACATCTTTACATTTTTGTTGAAAATATGTTGGTTGTAACTCCTGACTTGGCTGTAGTCTGCTGGTTTTCCTGCTTGTTTCTTGCTGTTGTCATTGCCCTATTTCTTGGAAAAGATGACTGAGAGGGGGTTATGGAATCTCCATAATCATCATTCAAAGATACCAGTCTGTTAATCTGAGAATGTTCTCTTGAGAATCAGGGTAAGTGTTGCAGGGGAATACTACATGTGAATTTTAAGGCATCTTCCATGGGAGCTTCATTTAAGGTTTTGTTGCAGCCTGTAGTCCTTTCTCAATGCTGCTATCGTATGGCCTGGGAGGGGAAAAATAACTGCTTCCATTGCCTTACTCCAGTTCGACAAACTGCCACCTTGCTTGTAACAGCAGGCTTTATTCCGTTTGTGATCTGCAGTTTGTGAGAAAGGGGTTATTTTGCTTTGTTCTCTTTTTATTTCTTTTTTATTTTAAAGGCAGGACTGCAGTGAAGATAGTGGTGAAGTTTTCCTTTTTTAAATACCTGAGGGGAAGCTGACAGAAATGAACAGCTTTTTTTTCCCCGCTTCTCCAACTCTTCTTCCTACTGCCAATACACTTCAAATCAGTTCTTTCTGTAAAGGAATGACTAGTGGATTATGGGGAAAAGGGATATGTCAGATGGTGCTGGTAACTGTGCTGTGTTGCATCAGAGAACTCCTTGAGGAGCTACAGGGACTGCAGGTATTCTGGCAACACTCACCCTCTCAGTGGCACTGACTCACATGCTGCGTTCAAGTGGCGTTTCAATTAAATTCTTTACTTCCTAATCACTTCTGAATAATTGCGGTAGCAACCACAGAGACACCGTTTTCTTCTTTTTTGGTTGAGTGTGCAATACTGTAAAGGCAAGGGCTACCCATTTTAGTTTTGTAGGCTGTTGGGTAGTGATGAGTGTGCATGCACATCATTCCTTCTCCATGCAAACCTGGTCACTTGACAACTTTGAGATGCTCTCTATGCATGACTTGGTTTGAATTTTCTTAACCATACATTAAAAAAATTGAACATCCACAAAGTAGTTGGTTCTTGCATGTTGGACTCCCATATACCCCCTGGCCACCCACCAAGAGCATCTTGAATGACACACCTAGTCTCATCAGGGAAACTTGGAGCTGTTGCCTCGTTATACTGTTCTACTGTGTAGGAAGTTGTGGAGATTACTTTGAGCTTGATGCTACCTAACTTGTGTCAGCAAACTAAACCTCCTCTGGTATGCCCTGCCATCAAGAAAGCTAGTTTAACAACTTTTTTTGTTGTTGTTGTTGAACCAAGTGTTCTTTGTTACAAGGTGGGTTTCTTTTGTTTTTAATTTTGCGGAGTAGACCTATAAAGAAGCAGCCTAATGATTGCAGAACTCATACATGTGTAAGGTATTAAAATGGATTTATCCCTTTGTTTTAGGATTAGATGTTGACGGCTTATACCGAGTTAGTGGCAATCTTGCAGTGATACAGAAGCTAAGATTTGCAGTCAATCATGGTAAGCTTCCTTCAACTATATTACGATTGTGTATATTTTCAGATTGTTGAATTTCATAGAAAGCTCAGGAAAAAAATTTCCTATGGTGTAACTGCAGTCTTTCATGAGAAATGATTGTCATCTTCAAAGTAAAATTTCTTCTAAATTGCAGAATTTAGTGTGTAATATACATCATTTGAAAAACCTAGCATCCTGGAGGTTTGCCTTTATGTGGAGCATAGAGGTATTGCTAGCACATAATTCTAAAGAAAGGTGGTAATAAAATTTGAGGGGGGAGAATTATTTCAAACAAAATAACTTCATACCTTATGGAAAAACAGTAAGCATATTAAGCTTCCACTAGCATTAAAATTGTAAGTTAATGCTTTTTAGCAAGACTTTTAGTATGGGGGTGCTTAGCTCCTCTTCATCATACTCTGTGTATAAAACCCTTTCATGTGGCTATATCTTAGCGTTTCGCTCAGTGGGGATCAATAGGCAGCTTGCAACTAGGACGAGGACAGTAGCTGATCTACAATCTGACCTCATTTCCTGATTGAAAGGGTCTAACAGTAAATTTTGTGTTATGTCAGCAGCTCCTGTTCCCCACTGGAAGGTGCCCTTGGTGTAGGGGAGCTGCATGTAGTGCAGCAGGGAGAGTTTGGCCATCTCCGTCTGTAGTGGTTGAGTTTTTGTATCCCCTTTTACACTGCTGCAGCTCTGTATCCCAGCAGAGAATGGGCTGAAGCGGAGTAAGAGTCTTCACTGCTTTAAAAGCATTAAGTAGAGAAGAGTAGTTAAGTTTGTTTTTTAAAAAAAGCTTTTATAGTTAAATTATTAACAGTAATTATTCGTTTTTCTCTCTCAGATGAGAAACTAGACTTGAATGACAGTAAATGGGAAGATATACATGTCATCACAGGAGCTCTAAAGATGTTTTTCAGAGAATTGCCAGAGCCGCTGTTCACTTATAATCACTTCAATGACTTTGTCAATGCAATTAGTAAGTCTGAAAAACATGCCCGTGCTTTTTGTATAAATTCTGCTCAATATGTACAGTTTATTTTATTTTGGACAGTAAGAAGAATATTTTGGTTATGAATGTCCATAAAGCTTACCTAAAATTGCCTGTCAGTAATGCATGGTCCGGTCAGGAGGTGGCAGTATTTTATCTAATATTAGCACTGCAAAATGTGCGCTTTTATTCACAGTCTGTTAAATTTTATGCTAAAGTTTTAAATGAAAATACTGAATTTTTGTTTCTACACCTCATCCTTTTGCAGAACAAGAACCAAGGCAGCGTGTCCATGCTGTTAAAGATTTAATCAAACAGTTGCCAAAACCAAATCAGGACACTATGCAGGTACTCTTTAGACACCTGAAGAGGTAAGTAGCAGATAAAAGGAAAGGCTTTGTATTGCTGATCCTCCCTTAAAGCTAAATAATCCATGAAAAGTACTAGGTGACTGTTCCCACTGCACTTTTCTTGCCTGTATTGGACTTGATGAAAACAATATATCGGTCTGTGTTTATACAAGCTTGCAGAGCACCAAACGGACTTTAGACAGCATGTGTCATAGTTGTGATGTTTACTGCCAAGTCCTTATGTTCGAGGGATTGTGAGATGATTAGGAATAGCATTTCAAAACAAAACTTCGCTGTAGAGAGGGGAATCACAGCAGCTGTATGTCCTAATAACAAGACTACTTATTAAATAAATGTTGTGAATAGTCATTTGCTTTGGACTGTGTCTTTTCCTGTCATCCCATTACTCTAACACTGATAAGTCTCTTTTTGTATATTCTTTTTCCTCTTTCAGAGTTGTAGAAAACGGAGAAAAGAACCGAATGACCTATCAAAGTGTAGCAATAGTTTTTGGTCCAACCTTATTAAAACCAGAGAAAGAGACTGGTAACATAGCAGTCCACACAGTATACCAGAATCAGATTGTAGAATTAATTCTACTGGAATTGAATTCCATCTTTGGACGCTGACATTTTCCTTGGGGTAGAAACTGGAAGTGATGGGTTGGCAGCAGTACTCCATCAGAAGGAAAATCTCTCGCTGTACGTGATGTATTACGTTTGTGGACCAAGCAGCAACTTGTTTTTTGCACTTTTGGGGAGGGGAGAAACAGGAGAAATGTTTGACCACTTTAATGCAAATTAAAGACAACACTTGGATTTCTTTGAAAAGTTCAATGTAAAAAGTGAATTGAAAAGTTTATAGTTTGCCTTTTTTAAGTAGCATTGGAAAAATGTAATATAGGTTCATACACTGGATTTCTTGGAGAGTAAAGCTATTAATCTCAAACTGGATAATCTGGAATTTAATCTTAAATTTTTTCCACTTGATAGGGAAAAGTCCTACCAACTGGTATGGAAAAACTCAGTGAAGTTACATCTTAAGCTCGTGTATTACAACCTACTCAGATCTGTATGATGCTTTTCCAAGGGGTTTCTGCATGCAGTGACTGTCTTAAACTTGTGCTAACAGTTTGGTTAGTTATTCAAATCTAATTCCTCACTTGATATCTGCTGTCCTTTTCCTTTTTTTTCCCTTTTTCTTTTTTTCTTTTCTTTCTTTCCTTCTTTCCCCATCAGCCTTTCTGGAACTTCTTAGTTGCTTTATAGAACAGCACACTATTTCAAACACTGAACTTGTAAGAATATCCAGCAACGGATATTTGTCTTGTGGCATAATAGAAGTCATATGTAATAAACATGTTCATTTTTTTCAAGGTATTTCCTGAGCTAAGTTTTGCATTGTACTGATTTAAAGCTAAAATCCTAAGTAAATACCAACTGTAACACTGTATTGAGTTCTTGGTATAATGCTGTGGTAGTGGAAGTTTAATGTAAATATAGGCTGTCCTTTTGATTCTTGTATATAATTCAGTTCCTGTATAGTTTAAGAACATTTTAGTCACACATTTCTAATCATGGGTAGATTAGCTACAGTAGCATAACGTTTCCAGTGGATGTCTGGGTTTCAGCAGGGAAGCAAGTTGTGGGGAGGGAGGGGGGACCTAACTGTGTGCACTTTTAGATGTTAATTACATTTGCGGGCAAATAACTGTAATGCAAATGGTACTGGAGAAATACTGAGTGTGCTTGCTAAATTGTTAATGCACTACAAGAGGAGCCTTTTAGGTTATTTAATATGTACAGGATACATTAGAAAAACGTATTATGAATTCTAACATCTACAAATAGTGAAACTCATGTTTTGATAGATAGATGTTTGATGGAATCCATGATGCTAAATTTAAGAATTTCTTTTTACATTAATGTAGAATAACTTGTAAAATTGGTTTTGAAAGATTTTGTTACAGGGAGCATGGTCTGCTGAAGATTTTTTTAAATGTATTTTTCTAGACTAACTGCTGTATCTGACATATTTGTTATGTCTAACCTGAATAAAGAAAACTTAGTTCCTTTGGAGTTTGCCATTCCCGCTTCAGACAACATGAACCCCCTTTAAACAGCAAGACCGATGTATCTTGCCGCTTAGCGTGGATACTACGTGTGGCAGAGTTGTCATGCTGGATTAAAAGACAAATGCTTACTTTTATAACCTGACAATTTTAGGAACTTCCCAGTCCCTTTCTTTAACAACTTAAATTCTAACAGAAGGTTCAGAGAGGGCAGAAGTAATTTGTGGATACAAATTTGCGGTCTTTAAAACATATCCCAGCTTACCTGGAACCTACTGTACAGAAAGCAGATACATTGGGGCAGTAATTGTGCTTCGCCTTTGATCTGCTGCACGCCTTTCACAACACGGTTCTGGCTTACAGCGAAGGTGGGGTGTGCTGAGGTACTGAGGTGTAACCAGATGAATGGTACGAGAATTTCACAAGCATAGGGCTTGCACGAGAAGTCTTCGGAGATAAAAGAGAAAATGAGTTACCTTGTGGCTTTCTCACTGTCTTCTTGTGGTAATGGCGAAGTCTTGTGGTTTGTTGTAAAGCGACCTGGGTGAGAATTGCGATAGCTCCATCTCGGTGTTGTGTTGTCAGCCTCCTGGTAGGCTGTCACACCGGAGCAGTGCCGAGTGGCAGCTGTGCCCCCAGCTACTAGAAAATACCAACACAGTTGAAATCTGTTGCTGTAGAATTATTCAAATCCCAACTTCAGCTGTAAAATAAAAAAAGAATTCCCACTGCTAAATGAGAGGGCATATCCGCAGGTCCCCTTTTCTGTATGAGTGTTAAGTTTTTCAAAGAAAGAATGCCTTTTTAAAACAATTTGATAATGAGGATGTCACACTTTTCCTTGTATTCCCCCAAAATAAAGAATTTTGTTATTACAATATATAGTATGGTTTTGTGCAGTGAAGTTGTCATATGTTTTAATGTTCTCATTTTTAGTTTGGGGAGGGGAGCGTTGTCTTTTTAATTGAAAGAGGTGTAGCTAAACACTCAGAACATTCAGGAATAGGAGGCTGTCCAAGCTGATGCTGTGCTTGTCGTGACCAGCTCGGGTATGTCAGCACATTGGGTTTCTTCGCTACTTGAAATACCTTGTCCTGTTCCTGCAGTTAGCTTTCTTTTTCAAAACTAGATTTTTGCACAAACACAGCAGGGGAAAGCTATTTGTATTAGATGAAACATAATTAAATTTATGTATTCCTCAGTTTGGACTTTAAATCAGATTTGGTTCTGGTTTAAAATCAATTTAAAGACGGAATATAAACTTTTGCGGCCATAACCACTCAAAGATACTGGAGGTCCAGTATTATGTATCGGTGCCAGTTGAAATTTTGTTCCAGCACTAGAGCTGTGTTCAGCTCTATAGTTCAGCTATACAGTGTTAGTACTAAACAACTCTGACGCGCTCGATCTATACCAGTTACAGGTTTCTTCACTTTAAAGCTGGAGAGAGAAGGGGAGACAAAAAAGACAAGGCAAATACACAGTCATCTCATGTAAACGAGTTCTTTTAAATCAGAGTCGCATGTAAATAAAGCTTCCTGCCTGCAAGCGGATAGGGCACGCTCGCTGCCCAGGCCCAGCCTTTCCTCCCCGGCGTCACAGACAGCCACGATAAATTCCCTTTGTACCGAACCCATTGTATCCTGGCGCGTGAATCCTCCACTCGCGGCGTGAAAGGGAGGGAGTTGGTAGGTAATACAGTATCAGTGGGTTCCTAGGTGGAGCCCTGACTTTTCCCCTTAAAGGGAACACCTTTATTTAGCCCCAAAGTAATGATATTTTCAGAATCAATTGGTTAATTCATAAGCCATAACGTAAACCAAGCACAGTGGGTCATTCTGCTGGGCGAAGGGGGAGGTACAGCATGTCTAATGAGGCCGCCTGCAACCGCCGGGGAGAGGAGAGCTCCTCCGAAGAATCTTAATTAGCCTCCACAATTGCAAAGTTTTGTGGGCAAGCAGCTGGTAGGACTGGATCAGACCTTTACAAAAGTAGCCCTATGTGACTGTGGGACTTAAATGAACATTTTTTTTTTTTTTCCCTCCATAGCATTTTTGTAAACAGAGCACTTGTAAAACAAGATCACACTGTGTTACAAACCAACATGAAAGACATTCAGAGGCGACTTGGCCTCTTGGTCCTTTTTATTGCCTTGAGAATTAAATGGCAGCTCTAATATTAGAGTTTCCTACAACTTCCCCAAATGGATTTGAGTTTGTTGAGTTTGCTACTACTTTCTTTCAAAAGAAGAAATCTGTGTTGCATTCAGCAAACTCAGAACTGCAAAGTGGAACAAGCAGGGATAGCATCAGGTTTATTTCTCATAGAAGCTCATCTTGCAGCTTATTGCACTAAAATGGAGTTGGCTAGGGAAGAGGAGAGCAGATCTTTAGTGTGGGAATAAGTAAATGCAAAACACTGAAGGCAACCAGACAAAGCAGGTGTGATGGACAAGCGAGATAGCAAAGAAACAGTCACTTAGAAAATCTGCAGGAATCCAGGCCAGAGACCTGGGAGAAAGCCAAGCTGCCAAGAGTGTGGGTTGTGTTTTTTTTTTCTTTTCTTTTCTCTTTTTCTTCTTTTTCCACTTCATACAATACAGATGAAGGCCTATCTATGTTTTGTAAGGGTAAGTTGCTCTGTAAACAGGTGGAGTTCAAGTGACGTTGCAAAATGGCAGTGCCCATCTGTCTCCGGACTTTTCCAGAGCAGCTTCTGTGCGTCAGCCCCTCAGTGATGAGCGTGGGTCCAAGTTCACTTGACACAAACACCTGAGTGCTAATGGGAGTCAAGAACTATGTTCCTTCAGCGTAATTGTGAACGCACAACTGGCATCTGTGCTATACAAAAATAAACTTGTTCTCAGTTTGGCAGCATTATTCTGGTGGCACCGAGAGCCCCATCTGAGATCTGAACCTTGTGGCACCAGATCCTGAGAAGCATGGGTGGCCCTGGCTGTTACAATCTCAGCACACCAGAAGAAAGAAATGTATGAAGCTGAAAAGTGGGAGCATGCAGAAAAAAATAAAACACCAAGCTAAACTATCTTTGCAACCAGTTTAGATTTGCATGTATGGTACAAATCTGCTCAGAATAGTCTGTTAATTCATAGTGTGAAAGAAACAGCTGTCCTCTAAAAAAATAAATACCGTAATTAAAAGCTGTCATTTTTTCTATCAGGCACTGGAAGATAAATGTTAAACATTGGTCAGCTTGTCTAGTTCATCCTGTGCTGCAGCCAAATGGCTGGAATCAAACTGCTGGCGGTGTTACCTGGCCAGCAATGTCCCAGTGCTCTCTGCCTTTTCTTTACCAGGAGCGATGCTGAACTGGTGGTGGCTTGTTGGCTTTCTGCACGTGAGTGTCCTGCCTAGCTGCTTGTTCCAGTAAAAGGAGGTACCTAACCTAGAAACAGAACTGAAAACCACCTTTTTCCAAGAAAAACTTTCATATCAACCTGGGCTGGGCAGCACTTTGTCTGCAGGCACTTCTGCCACCAAGCTCGCATGTCGGCTGCAGGGGTGCTCTCCCCCGGGACCGAGCGAGCACATCTCTGGGTGCTGGCCTTGGCAGGGGCCCGGCCAACACACACGCGTGACCCCCTCAACCTCACAGCTTTCTTCTGGGAAGAAAAACGGAGACATGGTTGTGCAAGAGGTAGAGCCTCTCCTCTGGCACTCCCTTAAAGCATTATGTACAATGAAGGATGCCACCATATTTCCTGCTATGAAATAGCTGTTTCGTAGCTGAAGTGCTGTTCCCGCTGATATACTAGTCCTGCTCTAAGTTTTCTCTTTGAAGTTTTAAAGATAAGACTTCTTTTCCTATTAATCTCTCCT